GAGGCATGACTAGTGGCAGGACACCCCACTCTCTCTGCTCTGCGGTCTCCCAAATTGCCTTGCGTTGTGGTGCAGAAGAAGGGGAGCCCAGGGGGGGCACTGTTTTCTGATGCCCACAAAAGTGAGCTGTGGGCTGCCAGCGGCCCTGGGGTTGGCTCAGCAAGACTCAGCCAGGTCCACGGGGCGGGATGCGGAGCCAGGAGGGACCCGGGCCGGCGGTTGCGGTAGGAAAGAGCGAGCCCTGAGGGCCCCGCTTCGTGGGGAACTAGCCCTCCACGGCACACGCCCCAACACTGCCCGCAGATCCTCCCTGCGCCTTCTCTACCCTGGATGCGAGATGCACTCGAGAGGAAACTGAGGCACTGCAGGGAGCAGACCCCACTCCACCCCACCCCCCATAGCGTCTGGTGCGAAGAAGCTGGGCTGGAGGGCCGCGGATCGCAGCTCTGATTAAGGACCCCCCGGAGCTGGGACAACCCGGGGGACCCTGCCCCCCTGACTCCCCTGCTGTCCCCACCCGGCAGCCCCGGACTCCGGGTAGTCAGGGGCTGCGCCGCTGTAATTGTCAGTGCAGGCCGGCCGGACTGGAGGACCCGCGCACCCGCGGGCGGCGCAGGGCAGACCTGAGGCTTAATTACAGGGCTTTGGGCCACCGACTGGGTTGCGGCTCTGCTGGGGGGAAGGGGACGGGCCCTTAGCTCGGTGGGCGGGGCCTTGAGGGAGCTCGAAGGCCTTCTGGTCCGCAGCCTGGGGTTCCTTCCCCCGACACTTGGGGGGTGCTGAACTCCAACGAGAGCAGGGGGTGGAGCCCAGATGCCTCCGGAGAGCTGTGGGGAGAGCAGATTCCAAGCTCCCCACCCCCCTCCAGAAGCTCTGGTTGATCTTGTCCAGGGCTCCTCCTTCGTTCTGACCCGGCCCCTCCGCGCTCCTTTCTGCCGCCCCCGTCACCTCCCTTCTTGTATCCTCAGGGCGCTCCCACCCTGGGGAAGAATGTGTCCTCCTAGCGCACCCTTGCCATGGTAAAGGCACACCCTCACCCCCGCGCACCGCAGCGGCCCGGCCTGGCCCTCCCCGCGGCGGGGGAAGGGGAAACGGGCGCCTCCCAGCCCCGCGCACACACCTCAGCTGCTCCGGTTGCCACAGAAACCCCGGGCGTTGCGAAGCGCGCAGCCGCCAAGCGACACCCGGCTCGCCACGCGCTCCCCCACCCTCAGATCCACCAGCAGAGGACCCTGGCTCCGGAGACAGCGCCCTTCCAACTTCAAGGGCAAGGTCCAGAGAGGGATCGTGGGCATGTCTTCTTCCACGCACTGGGACCCTAGGCAGCGGAGGGGCCCAGGAGCATAGAACCAGCAAAGGGGATCCCCCTGTCGCCAGCTGGTCCATCCCCCCCCAGCAGAACCTGAGGGGGGCGCTGGCAGCAGGAAGCCAGGGAAAGGCCCAGGGGCGCACAGGCCCCACAGCAGAGCGGTGATTACAGGGACCTGTCCTTCCCGCCCCCGGCTCCCACTCTCATTAAGTCATTTTTTCCCTTGTTGGAAAGTCCCCGTGCCTTGAGCTCAGGGGCTGAGGCGACCGCACGCAGCTGCCGGCAACCACATGAGAAAGGGGGAGAGAAGAAGGGGGGCCGCTAGTAGGGCCTGGCCACGATCCAAGGTGGAAGGCCCCCTGTGCGGGGCTAGCTGGGGCACATTGATTGGAGGAGAAGGGGGTAGGCTGGTGCCCTGACCTTGATTCTCAGCCACCTGGGGCCCTCAAGCCTCTGCCTCTGAACACTTCTCTCCTGTTTTCTCCTACCCTGGGACCTTCCACAACCCAAAAGCTGGGTGCCTGCTGCTGAACCCCAGCCTGGCTGCCTCTTCTTGAGACCTAACTCCAGCCCACCTGTGTTCCCCACCAGCTTCTTCCTGCTGGCTGCCTCCCTTCCTCCCTTTGGATCTCGTGGCTCACTTGGACCTTACTGTTTTTCTGCCCCAGTGTCCATCAAGGTGAGGGGTGTTGTGGTAGGGGGCTGTCCTGTGGAAGATCTCTGGCCACCTTTGGTTCCTATTTTCCAAATGTCACCTCTGGCCTTCCTCAGCTGTTGGTGAGTTCTTCCTCCCACCTGCCCTCCACACTCCCACTCTGTCTCAAGCCCTTTGACCTATTTCCAGTCAGCACATTGGTACCTGCCTTGCCCTTCTGCCGGTACACTTAAGCCCAGGGCCTCTTGGGCTCTGTTTTCTGCCCCTCATCACCTCCACATCTTCCTTTCAGGCCCTCACCAAGTCCCACATGCCCCTTTTTAGTTGTGGGGTCCAGTTTTGGCCTGGGATGCTTGTCAGCTTCTGGCCCAGACAGGATGGGGGAGGGGCAACACCACATTTGTTCCTTCCCCAGCCGTCCCTCCCCTCTGTGACAGGTCCAAACAAAAACCAAACCCGTCGCCACTGAGTTGATTCCGACTCACTGAACTGCCCATAGGGTTTCCAAGGCTGTATGTAACCTTTACAGAAGCAGACTGCTACATCTTTCTCCCTCCAAGCGACTGCTGGGTTCAACTGCCAACTTTTCAGCTGCTGAGAGCTTAACCACCACACCACCAGGGCTCCTTAACAGGTCAAAAAAAAAAAACAAAAAAAAAAACCTCACTGCCCTAGAGTCGGAACAGACTCATAGTCTGAACCTTCTTTTGGTTTCCAAGGCAATATCACTACAGAAGTAGATTGCCCAACCTTCCTTCAGAGGATTGGCTGGTGGGTTTGAACAGCCAGCCTTCTGGTTAGCAGTCAAATGCCTTAGGCACTACGCCACCAGAACTCCTCCTTAACAGGTCAGGGTAGCATATATCAGATCCCCATGACTTGACTCACTAATGACATGTCCTCTCCCCACAGCCTGGTGTCCAGCTCTGCCCCACCTCACTACCCTCTTCTCCCTCTGGAGGCAGCCTGCTCTTCAGGGTTGCCGCTCCTACCTGTTCATCTTCAGCCTCCCCTCCCCCAGCTCTGTCCTCCATCGGCCGGGAAGACCTAGGAAGGTGAGGCCAAGACTCAATGGTGCAGTGGACGCTGCGTGGTGAGGGTGCCCTCCCTCCCAGGCTGCCATTTCCCCAGGCTTTTCCTCCTCCCTGGAAACCCAGCCCCCACAGCTCTCTCCTGGATGAACAAGAAGAAAGGAATGAGGCAGGTGTGTCTGGTTGCTCCTGCTTAGCCCTCCTCCCGAGGGACTCTCCACACCTGTGGACGGGGCTACCTGTGGGGAATGGGGGAGAAACTTTGTCCTCCACAAAGGCAGCAGAGGCGAATATTTAGGGTCCCTGCTGCCTTAGGCAAGACCCTGTCTGGGAGCTAATAGGATGCAGGCAATTGCAGGGAGGGAGCTGAGACCAAGTTAGTGGAGGCAAATCTCCCATCTGGTGGGCCTACAGGACACATCACCATGAGAGGGCCCTTTCTGCCCAGCCCTACCCAGGGAAACTTGGGGCTGGGGAAGGGCAAGACAGGGTACTGGTGCAGGCCAGCCATTAGGAAAAAGAACAAGATGCCATTTCTGGCTGGCTGATCAGAGGAAGGATGTCAGTCTGGGGTAAACTGAAGCAGGCAGCAGGACCTGGATAGAACTCCTGGATCTCTACCTTGCTCCTTGTTGCCCTCCTCCTTGAGCGTCCGTTCCAGAAAGGCTTCAGCTCTGAGAGCCAAGGAGAGTGCAGCGCTGGACCCAAAGTAGAGCTCAGTAGAGTCTCAAGGGCAGGGAGGGGCTTATTGACCTCCCAAGGGGGAATCTCAGCGGGGGAGCTGGGGCCACGGGAGGCCTAGCCTCCCTCCTCCTCACCCCAGCCTTGCTCACACCCCCTTCCCCTGCCTGGAGTCCCAGAGACCAGGACCCAGACAGTGAGTCTCCTGGCCCTCCCCGCCCCCACCTCCCTGCCACACCTCCTGGCCCCACCTGCTCCCTGGGGCGCTGGGCTGGGTTGAGCTGGGTCTTGCCCAGGATTACTCCTCTCGGTGTGCCTCCTGTCTCTGCTCAAGGGCGCTGCTGGGCACCCCCACTCGTCCTGGCTTGTGGCAGAGAGCTCAGGCTCCCAGTGGGCGGCTGGGGCTCCAGCACTGAGGGCCGCCAGCCCTGTCCCCTTCACCACTTCACTGTCTCCAGCCCAGTCCAGGCCCCTTTCTGCCTTGGAAGATGGCTGTAGCCTCCTAATTGGCCTCTCTGCTGCCACCTTGTCCCCCTTTCAGCCAGTTCTCCATACAGCAGCCAGAGAAGTCTTCTCCATGTTCAAGTCAGACCACAACACTCTCCAACTTAAGATCCTCTGAAGGCCCTCAGCTCCTGACCCTGGCCAAGAAGGACACGTGATGTGGCCTTCACCCACCCTCAGAGCGCCTCTCTGGCTGATCTGCCCCTTGATCTCTTCACTCTGATCATACTGGCCTCTTCACTTTTCCTCCAGCAGGCAGAGCTTCCCCACCTCCGATGCAACAGCAAAGCTACTACCTGGAAAGCCCTCAAGGCCCTCCTTCTCCTTGGGCAGGTCTCAGCCAAGTGTCGCTCAGATAGGCCTTCCCTGACCAGTGGGTTTGTCTAAAAGCCCCCAACCCCACAGATCACTTTATTCCCAGTGTCCTGCTTTATTCTCTAGATGCACACAGCACGTAGTCTTATCTTCTTTGTGTATTTACTCATTTATTGATCTCCCCCAGCCAGAAGGTGAACTCCGAAGGCAGATGCTGTGTCCCTCAGCACAACTGTATCCCCAAGGCCCCTCATGCCCAGCAGAGTGCCAGGCCACAAAGAGAGTGAAAAATAAATATTTGTTAAATGAATGATGAAGGGCAGAGGCAGTTGAGAGAGGGTAACTGGGGCCTTTGTAGAATCACTTCAGCTCAGCTACATCCACTTCTTCTCCTGAACCCCCACCCCATCCCCTGCTGCCAGTCAGCTTCCGTTCCCTCCCCATGCAGGGGAAGGGGGAGATGGGGTGAAAGGAGACCATCCCCACCCCGTTGAGCTGTCTGAGCTCGGTCCTGGAGCCCACAGAAGTGAGTTGTGAGGTGCAGACGGGCCTCGACTGTCCCCTGACTGCAGGTGAGCTGAACCTCCGAGCTGGCAGGTTCCCAGAGGATATTTCCGGTCCGCCTCCTCCTGCTGCAGGAGCCAACGGCCGCGGGGAGCCAGGCCCCAGAAGGCCCGGGTGCTCACTTGCAGACGCTGACCCACTCGGTGATGCGGCACTCCTCGCACACCACGAAGCAGCACCAGTGGAAGCGACAGTGGCAACGCTCGCTGCGCGTCTGGCGCAGGATGTTGTGGCCGCGGCCGCAGCACATGCTGCCGCAGCCGTCGGGGCCCTCGCTGCTCTTGTTGCACAGGCGGCCCACGGTGCCCGCCGAGTCCAGGCGCGGGTCGTGCTCGCAGAAGTCGGGCGACTTCTCGAAGTAGACCAGGTCGGAGGGGCTGGCGCGGCGGCGCGGGCCCGGGGTGCCGGGGGCAGGCGAGGGGACCCCCGCCGGGCCCGGCTCCAGCTGGCCGCCGTTGCGGTTGTGCGGCCGGATGAGCGTGGCGCGGTGGAAGCGGCCGCGCAGCAACGCCCCCACGGCGCGGAACTCCGGCGTCACCTGCCAGCACGTCTTGAGCTGGCAGCTGCCTGACGTGCCGTGGCACTTGCACTTCCGCCGCATGTTCTCCATCACCGCCTGCGGAAGGGGGCATGAGGAGGGGTGGCGCCAGCGGCACGCCCCACTTCCCTGGTCCCTGCGCAGAGACTGGCCTCCTGGAATCTCCAATGCCTTTGACACCCATTCCCATGGCACAGAGATAGATGCAAGCAGGCAACGCACAGCTCCTGAGCCTGAGCCAGGCGTCAGGAGGCGGACGCCCCTGCCTGCTCTTCTGTCGCTCTCCCATCCACCTCCCACCAGGCCAGGCCCCCCGGGGAATTCCCTCCTTCCGGCCCCCCTCTTCTCCTGTCCCCCTTTCCCAGCAGCTGCAGGGGGCCCCTAGGGCTGCAGGCTCTCCCCTGCCACCCAGGTCCTCTCTTGCTTCCTGAGGGGGGATCCCAGACCCTCAGGGAAAGTCCCTCTCCTTCTATCCCTCTGGTGGGGGCCATGAGCAGGAGGATGCCAACCCCACTACATCCCGGCTCCAAAGCCTCTGGCCTAGCTCCAGGCTGTGAGTGGAGGATGTGGTGAGCCTGAAAAAGACCCATTCCTCTCTGAGGTCGTGCAGCCCTGTGCAGGATGCCTAAGGAGGGAACAGGGCTGGGGAGCCCCATCATGTAAGGGAGCACTGGTAGCATAGTCCCTAAGGCATTTGACTGCTAACCTGAAGGCTGGCGGTTCAAACTCTCCAGCTACTCCTCAGAAGGAAGACTGGTCAATCTACTTCCCTAGTGATACCGCCTCAGAAACCCAAGGAGGGGTTGCTATGAGTTGGATCTGCTGAGGAACCATTCCCAGTATGTAGCTGGGACTTATTCAGCTCAATGCTGAGTGCAACCTACCCTTCTGGGTAAAAGTGAGCACCAGCAGGGCCAAAGGCCCTACCTGAATGCAGAACAGGAGTGGTACCCAGAGAACAGGGCTCCCAGCCCAGTGGTGGAGAGGTTCCAGATTCCACCAGGAGACAGTGATGGGAACACAGTCCCCGCCCCCCACCAGTTCTCAGCCTGCCCTAGAGGCTCTTCCCAAAGAGCACCTTGGCAGTATCCTCACCAAAGACTCCTGAAGTAAAGTGCCCCCGCTTCCTGAACAGACAAGGGAGGGCAGTGACCCAGGATCCAGGCCCCTCCCAGCCCAGCAGCAGGACCCTACCGAGAGGGACCTAGCCCTCCAAGCCTTAAAGGGCCCTTGTAGCTAGTCTGTGCAGCCTGTGATGGCAGCACCACGTGGGAACCAGCCCCATGCCTCCCCTGGCCAACAGCTCTGGCACATCTGCTTCCCACAGGAGCAGCCATTAATTAACTAGTTTAACGAGGAGGAGGAGGTGGCACCATTGGTATGGGTTGGGATTGTCTCGAAGCTTGGGAAAAAGCTGCACGGACTGGGCAGGGCTGGGTGGGAGCTGGCTGTGATCTGAGGATAGGTGTGCCTCAGTTTACCTTGCCTCTAAGTCAGGACAGACGGGCCCAGAGACAGCTCAGATCTATGTGAAGGCAGAAAGGAAGACATCTGGGCTGAGAGGCCAGAGAAGGGGGAGTAAGGGAGAGAACAAGGTGCCAACCAGAGTGAGAGGAAGCCAGGAACAAGGCCTGAGCTGGATGGGCAGGGCTGAGAGGATGAGGCCAGTGCAGAATAGCTAGGAGGCAAAGGTGCTGACTGCCATGAGGGTCAGTGGGGCATCATGGTAGACACTACGGGGGCACATGGTGTGGACTACCCCAGAAAGCACAGGAGCACAGGTTCAGAGCCGGGAGATGAATCCTGCCTCTACCTCTTTCTGAGTTGCTGTGTCACCTCAGGCAAGCTTCTTAATCTCTCTGTACCTCCGTTTCCACGACATAACATGAGGCTAATGGCACCCACCACACAGGTTAGGATGCTCAGGACAATGCCTGGCATATAGTAAGCACTCAATAAATGCAGGCTAGTATCACTTCTCTTTGTTTGCTTTCCATGTGAGGGCAGCGGAGAAAGAAGGAAGGCAACCATAGGCCAGTAACACAGGAGCTCCTGGAACCTCAGCCCCCTCACAGTGCTGGAACCCCTCTTTCTGAGACTCCTTGGAAAGGCTGGGGGAGGGAAGAGAGCAGAGAAGCACAGACGAGAAGAGCTAGAGGAGGGGGCCCTGAAGATGATGTAGCTCAGCATCCTCATTTATCTAGTTCCACTGAGGGCCTGAGAGAGTGGCAGAGCCATGTCGGGGACCCCTTCTTCATGTTTCACCCCGGGGAGTGGGAGGAGCAGGTTACTCGGCCCAGGGACGGAAGGAAGGATGGATGGAAATCTAACCCAGGACAAGGGTTGTTTCATCTCTGGTTCCGCAGACAGTGCCTGGACGCAGTTGGCAGTCCGTGCAAGATGACTGAATAATTGGGGAGTGAGCAATGCAGAAGGAGTTGAGCTGGAGAGAGCAGTATAGTCCTTTGAGGTGAGGTAGACCTCCGGGAGGGGCGGGTCCTAGGCTGAGGGATTTGGGGAGGGCCCAGGGGGCGGGGCTCTCACCTGCCTCCCGACTCGGTTGTTGTGGAGCCTCATGCGTGCGTGGATGTCTCTGTGGGGCTCCCGGGAGTCCAGAAAGTCCTTAGAGAAGCGCTCCCCAAAGCCCACGTCGGGGCTACAGCCTCCCCATTCCCAGGAATCCTGCAGGCCCGGGCTGGCAGGGGGCAGGGCTGGGTGCTCGGGGACCCCGTGGCTCAGGCCCTTCCCGTGCTGCAGGGCGTCCAGCTGCAGGCGGTGCAGTTTCCTGCGGAAGGCCTCCTCGTCCCCGCGCCGTGCCGCGTCGCAGCCGCATGCCCGCAGTTTGCCCAGGGCGCACGCATTGGACACTGCGTGCACCACACCGGCTGCTGCGATGGCGTAGGCGAAGGCGCTCTCTCGGAAACCTGCGAGTGGAGACCCGGGAAACATGGGCGCTGGAGAGGCCTCGACATCTCATCCCCTTGCCCCTGAACTTCCTGCCTTACAAAGGAGAAACTGAGGCCCAGTGTGGGGGAGGGTTTGGTACAAGGGCACAGAGTAGGGGGCAGAAATCACACTAGGGGCCAGATGTTCTCACTCACGAAATAGAAGCCTCCCCGTTAGCCATCTGCCTTTTGTACCCCCTGGTAGCGTAGTGCCTAAGGCACTTGACTGCTAACCAGAAGCCTGGCGGTTCAAACCCACCAGCCACTCCTCGGAAGGAAGGTTGGACACTCTACTTCCATAGTGATAACACCTCGGAAACCCAAGGAGGGGTCGCTGTGAGTCGTTCCAGTCCGACTTGACAGCACATAATAACAATAACAAACATCTTTCATTAAGGAAACCTGGTGGCGCAGTGGTTAAGTGCCAAGCTGGTAACCTAAAAGTGGTTCAAACCCACTAGCTGCTTCGGGGGAGATGTGGCAGTCTGCTTCAGCAAAGATTATAGCCTTGAAAGCCCCATGGGGCAGTTCTACTCTGCCCTATACGATCACTATGAGTTGGAATTGACTCACTGGCAAAGGTTTGGTTTTGGTCACCTTTGGTTAACATCACCCCTTGCAAGCACAGAACTCCTGTGTCTCCAACTCTTCAGTTGGGCAGAAAGTATCTGGTAAACACTTTTTTTTTTTTTTTTTTTGATGAGTGTCTATCTATCTATGCATTCACTTATAGATCATTGTCATTATTTTTTACTCTATTTATCATTCACTTTTTCCCCTTCACCCAAGTTACTATGTGTCTACCCTCCAGTTAGAGGTTTAGTCTCCCTTCCCCACCCCTGTTAACCACCAAAGAACATTTCTTTTTTTGTGAAACCCATTTCTTGACTTTTTAGATGTTTGTCTTTTTTGTAATTGACTTCACTCAGCAATGGGCTGTAAGCTCATCCATGTTGTGAGATGTTTCACAGATTTTCAACATTGTGATTTGACATTGCGTGGTATTCCATTGTGTGTCCATACCATGGGTGGCTGATCCATTCCTCCCTTTGATGGGTAGATACATTCTTTTTAGGATCAGGGACTTAATCTATTCCCTCTGGTGATATTTGCAATTTTAAAGGGAGCCTGGAGCTCTGTGTGCCTCGCTGTCCCACATCCCTATTCCTAACAAGGTGCCTGCACATCAGCTTTTGCATCAAGCGCTGCTTTCTCGGGAACACAAGCTAAGACAGACCCCAAGAGACCTTCACTAAAGAAACTTATGATGGATGTAATTTAGAAAGAAAAGGATCCTAAAAGACAGTCTGAGATTTAAGAAGGAATGGTGAACATAAAGGGGAAGAAATGATGAAAATATATATAAATAAAAATAAGCACTGCCTGCATAAAGCAATAATTTCTATTTTGTGGAGTTTAAAGAAATATTGCTAAAATACTTAACAACAAAATTTATTTAGAAGAGTGGCTATTTAAAGAGTTCTATGGTTTCTTTAGTGTTCCGGCAGTGGACTGAGATATTGTTTGAACTTATTCTTAAACTAAATATAATGTCAAAATTGCAAGGGTAACCACTCAAAGAATAGTAAGTGGACTATTCAAATTCTGATTAGGTAGAAGAGAGTAGGAAATGTAATAAGAACATATGCAAATTAGTCCATCAGAAACATGTTGAAAAAGTAGAACAAATAGAAATTTAAAACAAGATAGTTAATAAACAGATAAACAAAATGTCATATACCCACACAATAGAATAATATTCAGCTATAAAAAGGAATGACATACTAACACTTGGTACAACATAGACAAACCCTGAAGCCATGATAAGAGAACAAAAAGCCACATATTTCATGATTTCATTGCTATGTGATGTCCAGAATAAGCAGACACATAGAAACCGCAGATTTGTGGTTGTCAGGGGTTGGGGGAGGAAGGAATGTGGAGTGATTGCGTAATAGATAAGGGGTTTCCTTTTGGATGGTAGAACATCGTGAATGTATATACTGCCACTGGACTGCAAACTTTAATATTGTTATAATGGTAAATTTTATGTTATGTGTATTTGACCAGAATAAAAATAATAATAATAACAATATAGCTAAATGTAAAGTGATATCTTTCAGTAGAAAAGGGGCATTAGTGGGAAACCTGCTAAAATCAAATCAAGTCTGTGATTTAGTCATCAAAAAACCCAAACTCACTGCTGTTGAGTCAATTTCGACTCATAGGAACCCCACCTTGGGTTTCCGAGGTGGTATCTCTATGGAAGTAGATTGCCCAATCTTCCCTCCAAGGAGTGGCTGGTGGGCTTGAGCTGCCAGCCTCCTGGTTAACAGTCAAGTGCCTTGGGCACTATGCTCCTGGAGCTCTTTGATTTAGTCATAGTGAAAAGAGAGAGAGAGAAGGAGGAGGAGGAGGAGAGGAAGAGGAAGAAGAAGCCTGCAGAAAAAAAGGCGAAATTTAACCTGAAGAATCAGTGATGAGGCCCCAATGACCAGGAGGGTAAGTAAGGGAAGATGGCTTCTCTCTAAAGCTCCTGCCCCAAGGTGGCCGTCTGGCAAGTGCTACCACTTTAGGCCACTGCAGAAACTCCCCTGCTGGCAGAGCAATGGGGCCAACAGAGCTTCTCTGTTCCTCATCCACAGGACATCCCTGGAATTCCACTCAAAAAAGGGCACCATCCAGCCACCCTACCTGTGGTCGGTCTAGGTCAGCTGAAGAGGTCATTTAAAGGACGCTGTAGGTGACCTTGGTGCCTACACAGAGTTTGGCATGTAATAGCATTGAAAATTGAGAGGGAAGGTCAAGCTAAGACAAACATCTTTCCCATGGAGCTCAGAAGCACAAAAGTTCTCCCATGACCAAATTACTCCCAGCGCCCCAGAGCTAGGCCTTCCTGGCCATTGACTTGCTGCATTCAGCCAACTTCTGCGAGGTTCGTTGGTACTGCCAGCCTGAGCCATCTTCTGCAAGGGTTCTGGTGGTCTGACCTGTGTAGAGGAGGATCTAGCTTCTGGCTCTACAGCTGCTGCTTTCTTATTCTGGGTTTGAGAGAGGCCCAACTGGGAGCAAGCTCTGGTTTAAGTCTCTGAGCAGCCTCTGGACCCCAGAGAGAGTGCAGGCAGAGGGAGGGGCCAGGGACAAGGACTTGAGTGAGGCCTGAGAGTCAGAGAAAGGAGAACCTCTGGTCTTTCCATCTCAGCATTGAAGACTGGAAGGACATGCTCTCAGGGACCTCAAAGACCCTATAGAGCCACCCAGGTCTGGATGGAGACCCTGGGCCTGTTCTACCCCCTGGTCCTCACTCCCTGTATCACAGGGCCCTGCTCTCTTTTCTCTACCCAACCAAAAGAGAGAGAGAGAGAGAAGATGGCTAGTAGTTAAAAGTATAGACTCCAGAGCCAGATTTTCTGGGTTCAAATTTGGGCTTTACCATATACTAGCCACTGATAAGGAGCTCTGGTGGCGTACGTAGTGCCTAAGGCATTTGACTGTTAACCAGAAGGCTTGTGGTTCAAACCTACCAGCCACTCCTCAGAAGGAAGATTGGGCAATCTACTTCCATTGAGATATCACATTAGAAAGCCAAGGAGGAATCACTATGAATCTAGTCTAATCTAATTGACTCGACAGCAGTGAGTTTGGTTTTTTTTTGGTTGTTGTTATTTAGCTGCTGATAATTATGTGACCTTGATCAAGTGACTTACCCTCCTTGTGCCTCAGTTTCCTTGTCTGTAAAATGGGGTTATTATTGTCTATCTCACTATATTGTTCCAAATATTCAACAAGTTAATGACCTTAAAGAGCTTAGAACAGTGCTTGATTCATAATGAGTACCACATGGACAGTAGCTGTTACTGACAAGTTCTTGCTGTCTGGCCCACTCATTCCTGCCACCATGCCCTGCCATTGCTTCTTGTTTCACCCTGAGCAGAGACAAAGGCCAGCAGCTCATGGCCCACTCTAGAAGGAATCACTTAGGGCACTAGAAGGCCATGAAGCAGACTCTCCCTCCTGTCCTGTTCTTCCAGCTCGTGGCATCTCAGTACCCTTTCCATAAGGAAAATGCCCAGCTGTGAGCAGACAGTAGGGGATGGGGGTGCATCTGAGCCTTCAAAGGGGATGCTGGCAGTTGGTGGAAGTTATAGAGGAGTTGAAATTGCTCTGGGGAGATGGGGCTCAAGGGGAGGAGGGTGGACCTGGATCCCTGGAGAACACACTCTGTTTATCCCTTGCCTTTTATCTATGGAACTCTAAGCACTGCCTTCATTCTTAGGGAGTCATGAGCTTGCTCCTAGAACAAACTTTAGTGCCCAGACCAGAAATCTCCCCATACACATGCATGTGTGCACATGCACACACATATCATTATGCAAAAGGCGGAAGGCAAAAGTCACAGGGTCATGGGGCTGGACCCAGCCTAGTCTCTCCCAGCTCCCAGGCCTGGCAACTTCCCAATGAAGGATATTGGGCTCTAGCAGAATCCTGCTGCTGAGAAAGAAACCCAGACTGTCTAGCTCCTAGTCTCTGGGACCCTCCCTGTCCACACACAGCACCAGGAAAGAGCAAGAGGCCTGGTCTAGGAGGGTGTGCAGAACCAACCATCTTCACCCAGCCCCTGACACCTTCAAGGCAGGCCTGGACGGATCTGGAGAAATGTAACCTGCAGCCTGGTGAGAACACCCAGGCCCCATGCAGCTGAAGACTCCTTTCCTACACCCCTCATGGCCTCTGACAGCTGTCACAGCCACATAAGTGTACAGGGCCTTGTAGCCACCTTCTGTCCCAAACATCCAGGCTTCAGAGGAGTCCAGCCCACTGAGTCTGCCCCCAGCTCCCACTCAGGGCCCCAGTTTCGGCCCTGGCCCCGACTGTCTGGGGCAGCTACAGGCACTGTGCCATCTGGCCAGCTGGAAGGGGAGCGGGGTGGAGCCATGGCCAGCTGGGCTGCTCAGAGCAGAGGGGGTGCAGTTCGTTAA